TTTTATGGCTGTGCAGATTGTTTGACACAGTCTACTCCCGGGTTCTTTTAATTTGTTTGAAGTTTTACTTCCGCTGTCAATTGCGAAAAAGGCTGGTAATTATACATTCTTTTAAGTGGCGCCCTCTAGCGATGAAACCTCCATAGGTTGTAAATGGATGAATGTAGTTCAAACATAATACTGTAAATCTTTCTTGAATAAATAAATCATCTTTTTTGTGGGATCATATAATACGGTAAATGTCACATTCACAACGCACACTCATGTTGAACGCATTAGCCGGAATGCACTAGGAGCAAACAAATATAATAATAATAATAACCAGGGCAAAATCAATAGGCTTATATAGAGAACATGCATGTGATTACGATGGCGCCCAGGCATAAAAAGGTCATTCCCACTATAAGATGTCAGGTGCGATTTTATATTTGCATGTGACTGTTGTATTCAACATTCGCGTTAATCAGTGTGTGTGTGTTTAATTCCGTGTATTCTAACTGCTATATGCACACATTGGTTCATGATTACACACATGTATGAATGTCTGGTTAATTTGTACACATCAATTAATGGGAACGAGCCTGATTACAAAGGTCGCCTCCACACCTGAGACTGTTTAACAAATCAGGTAAGTCTGTATATATCAATCTCAGCCAAATTACCTATCTAAAACGTGTCGTGCCGGGTCCCAAAACATGTTTGAGTTGTCATCTTGAGTCATGATAAATATTGAAACCACTGCACGTATATCTACGATCGCTGCCGTCCATTTAAATGCAGGGGTCGCACGGGTCGTGGTTTCATATCCTCTAAAGAATATGCAAATATAATTGTTATTGACATACTGCGGTATAGTGGTTCTATTTACCTTATGTAAATGGAGCATTACATTTAAAGCATTTTGTTACGTTTAAAACTTTACAAAGCTTGGCAAGCTTCACAAAGTTAACAAGAATGACTGGCAAATGACCGTGATCAGGTACTTTTTTTTGGTATATGGTTTTTGTTAATTTTAGTAGATCTCAAACTGGTAACATGTTACCTTTCTAACATGAAGTGATCGCACTCCATAAGCAAAAGCGTTCATTTTGAGATGGTACAAGTTTGGTTAGCAGTAAATAACACTACAATTACATGTCTCAGTAATGTTGAAATACGAGCCATGAAGTGATCAACGGGTCACAAACTGTGTTACCAATATTTTACATGACATATTTATGACATATGGCATATGGTATATTTATTTAATGTGATACACACGTCGGGTTGTTTATTGATATTTAGCTAACCATGTGAGGTATACATTATAAATATATGTATCTCTAAAGTAGACTAATAGCTGAAATATGAGTCAGCACACTGAAATATATTATTATCAATGTAGATCGGGATTTCAAATATGTAAAAAATATGTAGATGTAGAAAAATTGAAGTAAACATGCATTTTAAAACGTTATTATTTAGAACATATGTTTCTTACAGAAAACTATAGATATCCTCGTTTCCATGGAAACCAACTACGTCTTTTTGCATACCACAAAGGCATGACTCCCAACGTAATTTGTAATAGTGTGACTATTTACACCAGAATTATTGTCCATTTACCCACTTTTTGCTATACAAAATTACTTTCTGTGAGTTTAGAGTTAATAAATAACAAACAATCAGCACATATTATCCTGGACTGGAAAGCATATTTGGATTAAGTTTTAAAGGTTTAATTCGCTTTCTTCCGCAGTGAAATATTTGCATGAAATTAGTCGACCTTTTATACATTATGAATTTTGAAAATTACGCCACGCAAAATTTCTATACAGACCCAACTGCCAGTTGCACTTGTGCGTGGTGCTTCCTTTTAGCTATGGTTGAATCATACTTAGTTTGTTGGTCTATTGATTCACAGATCATAAAAGTGGCGATTTGGCAATTTTGTAAAATATATAAAATAGCATGTGGTTATCTTCATGCTATAAAACGGAATAGTTTTAGTATGGCTGCCTTTAATCGTCTCAGACATTGGTTCTTATTCCAATGTCATTCAAGTCAAGTTATAAGTAAAGTTGTTCTACTATAAACGACTTTTTCAACAATTTTAGATTTTTTTTTCCATTTGATTTGTATGACGAATATATGGGTAATTTCTTCACCATCGCCCGAATTGCAATAATTTAATTATTAATTTTCAATAATAACTTTTTAAAAAATATACATCCAATCACAGTTGTTCATGTATATGGTTGTGGACATAAAACGAAATGGCGGTATGTTGCTAATTATAATTTTTTTCCCTTGGCTGCATTCATTTAATTGCAATGATCCACATTCAACAATTTTGATTCCAATTACTTCTTAATTCCCATTTTCAAATCAATCCAATGAACCATAACACCTGCCGACATAGACAGGGCAGTATTGAGGATTCGATTATGGAAAAAAAATTGTTTGTGATTCGTCATGGGTCATTTGTTTTTGCAGATGTATCAATAACAACTTAGAGATGCTATGAATTATGGGTAAGATAGGAATCGCTGTGTTTTGTATATTGGTTGCCATATCAGCTATATTTGTATTCCTCGTACAGTATGGAGTGCTCACAGGTAAACGTTGTTTTTACTATCTAGCACTAGTGTAAAGGCGTGTAAATTATACGTTAACACAATTATTAGTATCGGAGGGATAAGACTTCTGAACTGTTACAACACTATTCCAATATAAAACATCCCTTGCCAAAATAATAAAGAAGATTACATTTATTGATACAGTGCTTTTTATTCCTGATAAAACTGC